AGCACATGTGCTCATCAGGTGTGCGTCGTGTATTCCGAGAGCTGAAGAGCTCTGGTCACGAATGCACCGCTTCCAGACACTCAGAACACAGCAGTGCAGAGAACCAACACTTACCACATGCTTTACCATCTGGAGCGAGTGTGAAACCTTTCCTGCAGCGGCACATGAACGAGTGGTCTGTGTTTACACACTCGTTGGTTCCTGATGCACACGGATCAGATCCTGAGGAGATCAGAGCAGAGATGCTGAGCATTCAACATCCGTCAACAGTACGAGTTTCCTAAACATCTAAACCAGGAGTGTCTAATGCTGTTCCTGCAGAGTTTAGCTCCAACCCAGATTAAAACACATCTGAACTAGACAATCCAGGTCTTCAGGATTACTACACCAGTGGTTCTTCATCCTGGTCCTGGGGACCTTTTGTATGTCTCCCTTATCAGTTCAGTTCAGTGAGCTCTCTCCTAATGAGCTGATGATCTGAATCAGTGTGTTAAATAAGGGAGACATGCAAAATGTGCAGAGCGGGGGCCGCAAGTGCAGGATTAACACAATGGCAGGCAGATAATGGTGTATGAGCCTGAGCCCCCCCCCCACGGGCAGGTGGAAATATATTTCATCTGTATTATATCTCTTTACAGTGCAAAGTGAGTGAAGGGAACAGACTGACCTGCACACAGCTTCGAGTTTGTGCAACATCAGCTGCTTCTCAAAGTAGCTGTTCAAGAAGTCATTCTGCACCACGCTGCCAAACTGCACCAGTCCCACACACGTCTGATTGTGACCCACGTTCAAGAACAGCAGCAGGTCCTTGATGATGGACTTCACCTTCTCATAGTCTTCAGGCCGGACGCGAGAGCTGTCGATCACAAACACCAGATCCAGCGGCCGTCCTTCACAAGAACTCTGGTTGAAAACAACAGCATGTCAGTTCATACAGACACCATGCAGCCCTAATCCTTTCAACACAGAGAAAATTACTGAATTGCAATATTTCTGTGATCTGAATACCTGTGCTGTTGTGTCTCGCTGTGATGGTTTGCTGGGTCTCCACTGGGCTCGACACACAGCGCATCTCCAGATGATCAGGAGAATGAACGCTGGGCTCTTCATTTCAGTGAGAAGAGATTCCTTCAGCTAGGAGCCACACAACGCTGTTCCTGAGTAAAGCATGATTAGATGTTTCAAATCAACATCAAAGTTTCAAATAAGATAATAATGCATGTAATGCATGACCTAAAAATTGGTTTAAAACAAAATCTGTTAATATCCCACGCAAAAATGGAAAGAGGGCTGGAAACATACAATAAAAAAGCCTCTTTCCTGTGTAAAAGTGACAATGCCTAATGCTTGATGGATTAAAAAAATCTGCGTAAATTATGTTAGACTCATAAATAAACATTCCAGTGTAAAGTAATTGAATAGTGATGTTTTCTGATAGTCAATTAATAGTGCACACATACCTGTTTTTAAAGAGCAGAGATTGTTGAACAGAGGTGAAGCAGACAAACACGCAGAGCAGAATCCAGAGACGTTCATCCGCCTGCCTAACCCTAACCCTAACCCTAACTCACATGGACAGACCTTCCATATATATAACTTTAAACATCTCATAGCTTTTTATCATTCTTAAGCTAAAAGTATATCAAACTAATTTATATTCATAAACCGATGTTAAAACTTACATAGATATCCTCTTCTACATTTCATGCTGTTTTATTTATTTAGTTTATTTATTTTCGTATTGCAGTCACAAATGTAACGAAAGCGTCTGTAGAAATGCATCGGAGTAAAAAGGGTTAACATTTTTTCATTAAAATGCAGTGAACTAAAAAAAGTTCACCAAACATACGCAAGTAAAGAAGAAATGTGGCAAACCTTAAGTTAAATACGACAGTGAAGGTATTTGTAACGTTACTTAGTTATTACACAGCTCTGCTTAATGGTTAAAGTGCCACTATTATGCTATTTGAAAGGGTTATAATTTGGTTTTGGGAATCCCCAGTAACAGGTTTACATACATGCAAGGTCAAAAAACACTTTCATTTTCTTATAATATGCATTTAATTTTATGATATTTCTTCAACGGCTCTCAAACGATTAGTTCGAAGATTCATCTTTCCAAACCCCTCCTTTGCGTGATGTTACTCTGCTCTGATTGGTCAGATGACCCAGTCTGTTGTGATTGGTCTACTGCGTACAGCGCGTGTCGGAAACGGGACACACATCACCAGGGCTGGAATACGGCTTATCAATAACACATCTTATTATAATAATAACAGTGCTCCACTCTGTTCTAAAAATAAAGAATCAGAGGGGAAAAGTTGCTGTACACTTCTGTTAGTGAACCAGTGTCCTGACTGATTTTATCCTAGCCGTCAGATTGTCCTAGCAGGGTTTACTGCGCATGCGCACATCAATATTGCTCCTTTTTCTCATGCTGAATAACAATATTTAATGTATCTGCATTACTGTACTTTGTACATTATCTGCATTAGACTTTAATAAAAATCTAATAGGTAGAAAAAAAAAATGTATTGTTGGTTTCCTGTAGCTGTATCCCTTCTAGCTACAACTGCGAATATAACACATAATTACTGTATTTGCATTACTGTAAGGGTAGGTTTAGGGTTGGAGTACGTGTAGACGTTAATAAACCATAATTTTACAGGTAGCATTTTTCGTTGTCGAACTGTACTACCCACTGTTTTAATGGGAGGTAGCAAAATCTGACAGGGCAGCACAAATCGACAGAACACCGGACCCACAGCTTGGTGGTAAAGACCCAAACAATAACGGTATATGCGTTAGCCGAACACAGACAGAGTACTGATAAAGCACTGCAGTTTGTAAACCAATGTATTGCTCCATCCTTTATCATAAGTCCAAGTACAACAGACATTTTATATTAATCGACACATTTCTAGACAATAGCTGATTAGCAGAACTATAACGCCAGTTAGCCAGAGACTAGCCTTCAGACTGACGGCTGAAGGTCTGGAATCCATGGCAGCTTTCATTGGCCAAGGCCCGCCCATGTTTAGAGAAAAACATTTATTTCATAATGATATTTCCCAACGTCGTTTGCACTGCGCTCTTGCGTTACTTGATCTTTTTATTTTGGTGCGTCAATCTGTTGAGTTACTTAGTATAGGAAATTATGATCCGCACTCACGAGAACAATCTTCTTTTTTCTTTTATTTTACATTCATTACTGATGGGAAAAGACACAAACGTTTCGGCTCAAAGCCTTCCTCAGTGTGTAAAGCAATTCAATCCCTCCACCCACTTTTCAAATCACTAATTATATTGACGTCAACATTAATTAGCCAATGTTCAATTACCACAATCATTAAATCATTTCCACTTAAACCCTGGACAATTTACATATATATATCCAACACTCCAACACAAAACGTCACATCCACTATTACACCTCACAATATACCCGTGACTAAAACAATAGTTATTTAGGATCACATATTTATCACTATTATACAAACCTATAGTTTATCCTATCAATCATCAATATCTACTCCAATTAACTTTAAATTACGATGCTGATCAAGCGCTTCAGGACGCGCAGACGGGGGAAGAGAGCCGGCATGCTCGTGAAGCTCAGGCAGCACGGATTTCGAACGCCGTTGCCTAGCATCCATCTGGCAAATCTCCGCCCTTCATGCTTCAAACGCTCCACCATCATCCCCGTCCCAAAGAAACCCCAAATTACTGGACTTAATGACTACAGACCTGTGGCTCTAACGTCTGTGGCCATGAAATAATTTGAAAGACACAAATTATGGCTTTAATTAATTTGATTTAATTTAATCAAATTATGGCATTTTAATTTAATGGATTTAGTTTTGGCTTATCTGAAGGACATCACTGGACCCTTACTGGACCCCCTGCAGTTGAGCACCGGTTTGAGCTTGAACTTGCCCCTGGTTGCAGTTAATCATGTGACATGAAATCCCACGAAATTTTACTATAATAAATAAAGAATAGGCCTATTCAGGGCCAGATGTTGTGGGTTAAACAAAGGATCTTCCCTTTAACACAGATGGCGTTATAGTTTAAAAAATGTGTGAAAACATTCAGTACTTTCAACCTACAAATCACATCATACCTTAAAAATAACAAAATGATCTTACGACAGAATTAAATCCACCTCCTCCTGACTGATAACACTACTCTTGCCTGCTGGTTTTTATAGACAGCTCTAATAACAAAGTTTTCTAGTCTATGCAAAAGAATGTTGTGGTCAATAGTGTCAAACGCAGCGCTAAGATCCAATAGCACTAATAGAGAGATACAACCACAATCAGATGATAAGAGCAGGTCATTTGTAACTCTAATGAGAGCAGTCTCGGTACTATGATATGGTCTACGGAAAACACAATTAAATAAATAATTACATAAATCAATTAATTCATTAAATAATTAATTTAGTTCATTGTGTTAAGGGTTTGATTATACTTAAAACACATAACACAAGCACTAATATTTAATAGTATTTAAGTGTTTATTATTTATTTTTAAAAATGGTATTTCTAAAAAAAACATTTCCGTTTTTTTGTAAGTTTGGTCTGAGTTCTTGATGCTTTTACAACGTGTTCACCAGCAGGTGTCGCCAGCACGTGCTGTTTCAACAGGAAACATTGAATCATTTTTCGAAGCGATTGGTTCAATTGATTCAATGCTTCGAAAAGCTTTGTTTCTCCCATCACTACTATAAAGTAACAAATTCAAGCTTCAATATAAGATAATAAAGCCAAGCACACATTAAGTACTTAGCAGACAAATGCTTAACGTAATATATACGATAATTATTAAACTGATAGCAAAAACATTACAGACTACTCACCGTGCTCTCTCGTTGTCAATAACTCCGCCCCTCACTTCCGGTTCTGTGGCTGCGGGTGCAGCTGGATGTATCTCGCATGTAGCTCGAGCTCTGTAAAGGTGAACTCGCTCTTCTGCGCATGCGCAAACAAGAATGACTTTTTTTCGGAAGGCAAAAACTCCAGTAAAGCGATTGTTTTTCTTCGGTCCTTGAGGATCATTTACGGATATATGGAGACTTTTAAAATAGATTCACACATGGAGAATGAAGTACAGGACTTTGTACGTCTAGTAGGACATAATGAAATGGTGTAGAAGAACAAAAGGACAGAGTTTGTGCGTGTTTGTGGAGGTAAGAAGCTGCGTGTTTTCTTTGAACAAAAATGACTTTTTCAGAGCTGTTTACAATCGTTAAAGAAACCAAACCACAATAATTAAAACACTTCAAGAATCGTTTCGGATAAACTGTTGTTTTAATGACTGATCTAAATGATCGTAAGTTTCTAATCTCTCGATCAAACCGAATCATGTAAGAGTTTCGCGGAACTAGTGTTAGCTGAAGCGTCAGTTGTTGTGTTTTCTGTAGTTAGAGAAGAGGTAAGTTTATCACAGATGTTTAGTTTCTCTGTTCATGCTCGTGCTGTAAGTGAAACTGTGCTCGGATGATGTTAGTTCTCATGTTAATGTGTGTGTTTGTGTGTTGCAGGTTTCTGGAGCTCTTCTGGATCCTCTGGGCTCAGCTCGCGGCTGTCATGCAGATCCTGCTGTGCTTCAGCTTCGGCTTCTTCTTGCTGGACTCTTGCATGAGCCACACTTCCTTCACTTGCGAGCCTGTGCATGTGCAGTGGTGCCACAGCATGCCCTACAACTCCACATTCTTCCCCAACATGCTGGAGCACTACGACCAGGACATCGCTGCAGTGAAGATGAAGGTACTGTCTGCTGAAGCCATATAATACACAATAAATTAAATGCTCAGTTTTAGTAATGAAAGATGTTAAGTGGATGTGTTGTTGTGCTTTTCATTTAAGTTTATAGTCATCTCACTTTGAAGAGACATTAAAATAATTCAAATAAAATTGGAAAGCAGTAATTGTTTATGTGAGTTCTGAATACAGCGCAAGTTACAGAAGTGTGCCTTGGTTCATTTCATATACTCAAAATATAAATATATATATGTTTAATTTCTTTTAAAAACAAGTTTCGAGCATTTATATTTTGCGACTATAGTGTGGAGATCAGTTCAGATAAATGATGATCTCTGTTCACCATCAGTTCAGTCTTTGCCCAGTAAACGCCGTGTCTCTGAGTGTTTCAGAGCACATTCCTGCGATTCCCTCACAGGGATTGGTTTCACTGAAATACTGAAGGTCTGTGAGACTGCTTTTGTAGTTGTATCAAATAATGGGCTTTGTGTAATATGCGAGAGGAAAGCCCTCGGCCCCATTGTTATAGCCTTTGATTTAAACGGGAGAGAAGGAAGGAAGGAAACTGGAGGAGAGAGCCGTCTGCAGTCATTACTGTTTGTACACACACACACACTCACACAGACACACAGTCACACACACTCACACACACTCACACAGACACACACACAGACACACACACTCACACAGACACAGACACACACACACTCACACAGACACGCACACACTCACACAGACACACACACACACACAGACACACACACTCACACAGACACTCACACAGACACAGACACACACACTCACACAGACACTCACACAGACACAGACACACACACTCACACAGACACTCACACAGACACAGACACACACACTCACACAGACACTCACACAGACACAGACACACACACTCACACAGACACTCACACAGACACAGACACACACACTCACACAGACACTCACACAGACACAGACACACACACTCACACAGACACTCACACAGACACAGACACACACACTCACACAGACACTCACACAGACACAGACACACACACTCACACAGACACTCACACAGACACAGACACACACACTCACACAGACACTCACACAGACACAGACACACACACTCACACAGACACTCACACAGACACAGACACACACACTCACACAGACACTCACACAGACACAGACACACACACTCACACAGACACTCACACAGACACAGACACACACACTCACACAGACACTCACACAGACACAGACACACACACTCACACAGACACTCACACAGACACAGACACACACACTCACACAGACACTCACACAGACACAGACACACACACTCACACAGACACTCACACAGACACAGACACACACACTCACACAGACACTCACACAGACACAGACACACACACTCACACAGACACTCACACAGACACAGACACACACACTCACACAGACACTCACACAGACACAGACACACACACTCACACAGACACTCACACAGACACAGACACACACACTCACACAGACACTCACACAGACACAGACACACACACTCACACAGACACTCACACAGACACAGACACACACACTCACACAGACACTCACACAGACACAGACACACACACTCACACAGACACTCACACAGACACAGACACACACACTCACACAGACACTCACACAGACACAGACACACACACTCACACAGACACTCACACAGACACAGACACACACACTCACACAGACACTCACACAGACACAGACACACACACTCACACAGACACTCACACAGACACAGACACACACACTCACACAGACACTCACACAGACACAGACACACACACTCACACAGACACACACACACACACACACACACTCTCTCTCTCTCTCACACACACACAGACACACACAAACACTCTCATACACACACACGCACACACACACACACTCTCTCTCTCTCTCTCGCTCTCTCTCTCACACACGCGCGCGCGCGCGCGCACACGCACACACACACACACGATGCGAAAAAATTCGCTATTGAACAGTCAATAGCAAATACTTAAACTAATAACAAAACAGTAGCTGATTCAGAA